CAAATCTCCTGGCCATGTATGTCCCATAGCATAAGGAGAAGCCCCTGCTTCTGGGGGCAGCCACTTTGGTCTGTCTGTCCCAGCTTCTATAGGGGTAAGCACACTTTGCCTGTACTATACGTTGGTGAAATGCAAGGCAGCTACAGATCTCCCATGTCTGTGTTATCCCAGTGCTGAGCCCAGGGCACAGGCTGGTACTCACAGCTGAGTGCAGTGCATGCTCAGCTCTTGCACTGGAGTTGGCTTTGTCCTGCCAACTCGGTTGGGAAGCTCACACTCTTGGTTTTTTGTAGCCTTTGTCCCTGCTGCATATGTTTGTAGCTATAGGGAAGACAGAGATAGCTCCCACATGGAAAAAATAGAAGTACATTAGGAACTCTCTTTCTAAAACCAAACTGTTAATGTAAACCGAATGATAGCTGTGTGTAATACACCTTTAATTTTCTCCTGGACACTGATGCTGGAAAATCCACAGTGAGGAAAGAAGGTCAGAATAAAACATGAGTTTTATATGATGGATGTGACACCATGAGCTGCTTGTTTAGTTACATGGGAATGTGTTCACTGTGTAAATCAAATTGCAGCTAAAAGCCCTTTAGCTAAATGCAGCAGAATTCCTGCAACTAAGAGGATTACAGCATTCCTTGAGTCCTCAGTAAAACTTCAGTGATATTAGCAGCAGTAGCAGTTATGCTTCAAGGGCAGTGTACAAAGACATAGGTTTTGTATGTAAAGCATAGCTTCACCTCACCTTGAGGCATTAAGACAGCTATTCCCATTTCAATAACAAAAATTCCCAATAAAGCCAGACTTCAGCTGGTAAAATATTCTTCCCATGGACTTCAATTCCTAAACTTAATAGTGACATTAAAATAATTAACTTTACAGCCCCTTGTGCAATTTTATAGCTTCCTCCTTCTGTATTTGTTCCTATTAACTCATTATGTGTCCGCAATTGAGCAAAGTGCTCATGTGCATGCTTAAATCTCAGTTCAGTCAGTGAACATGTAAGTGTAGATGCTTGGTAGAGTCAGGACCCATTGGATTCTAAGATGACCTGGAGCAGATGTTTCTGTTTAGTCTGTGTTTCCACAGAGACTATACATCTCTTCACTGTTCATTCTTATTTTGAACTTAGCCACTTAAATGCTTATAAAGAAGGCATCTTTTTTTTTAAGCCAGTGGCCTCTCTTCTCCCATGATTGTCTGTTTTAAACAACAAAGTATTTACTCTATTTTAGTATTAATCCAGAAAGCATCAGCCCACACTGAAAAAAAAAGCTTCCATTTCCTACAGCTTTTTAGAGCTTTTCATGCTTTGGAGTGTTTTCTGGGAGCTTTTTTCTCTTGCTTTTGTTTGAGGACAGAATCCACAGAGATGGAAGAGGAAAAGGTTCATCATAACTGACATTTGAGTCACTGCTTAGTTTGAGACACTCCTGGGTTTGATAGAGGGTTATTCATACCAATAAATGGAGAGCATTTCAGATTTTGTTTTGTTAGAAACACGACAGAGGAGACTGTCTTACTTGACGAGTTCATGAAGGAGGAAGAATGATCTTTTCCCATCTTTTTCTCTATTGCAGTTTTTGCATTAAAAGGTCTATCTCCCTCCTGTTCATTTTAAGAAACTGTAGTAGACTATATGTTCAAAGATTGGCAGACTTCCCTCAGATGATTATGAATATTTCGTCTCTGGTTTTGGTAGTACTTTTGAATATTTGATCATGTCAAAACAAGCACTTATAACTGACACATTAAAGAGGTTGGCAACAAACACTGCTGCACATAAATAGCTTTCTCTTTACTTCTGAAGAAGTTATGAAGTAGTGAAGAAAATATGGGTATTTGAGTGTGAAATTTACAAAGACAGATCCAGGAATCAGCTGTGATAAAAAAGCACTTTGCACCCTGTTTCCCTCTTGCTCGTTTAGAGTGGACTAGGTAAAGAATGACTACAGAATCCACCGTTCGAATGAGCAGAGTATAATAATTGACATTATTTTCCATCTTAATAAATAGCTGGGGAAAGAGAAACTGTTTTGAAAGACAAAATGCATAAACAGCACCCCACCCCCCCCACCCTCTGGTTTTTCAGATGCTTTGATGTACGTGTCCCCTACTTGAGGTGTCTCTGGATGCTGTATTCTTACTGTATAGTCTCTCCATCTAGTGGTTAGATGGATGGGATGCTGTATATTCTTCATAACTTTTCAAGATTGTCATAGCTGAAAATGACTGGGAGCTGTTGAAATAGGAAGGAAATGCTCTGTGAGAGAAAGCACATGGCCACATTAAGTAAGGAGGAGACGTGAGGGTAAATGCCAAAAACAAAACAGGAATTCGGTGAAAACAATCAGGTTAAATCTTCATCACTGAAGCTTCCCCTTCCTGATAGCTAACTTCAGGCCAAATCCCTTGCCTCGTAGATAATAAAACCCCCAAGCTTGTCAATGGGTGGTGGGAATATGCACAATTGTACATGTTAGTGCCTTATGGGGGGACCTAGATACATGCCTCTGGCAGCATGGACCTTGTAGTTACCTGCAAGATTCAGTAACACAGCCTCTGTACAACCATCCAGCAGGTCTTCCCTGATACCTGTGCCTTCTTCTGAGCAGGTGAAGTGCCACCAGTACTCCCATGGCCCCACAGCTTACAACCAGCTGGATCCAGAGGGAGTTGAGCTACACTAGGTCAAACCTTTGGCTCAGGAGCACAGGAGTGGGTAGGTTGTACCCTTGATCAGAGCACTGCCTAGGGCTGTTCCCCCATATGGAGCCACAAGGTGGCTAAGGGAAGTATTAAAAGTGGTAAATCCCCCAAGGGAGGCAAGAAGTTGCTGTCCTCTTTTGCCTGGGCTGTAAAGTCCCAGTGTTTAGCCTGAAAAAAGGCCCATGGAGCTGTGGTTGCCACCTGATTGCTCCCTCCAGCAACAGGCTGACTGGACCAGTTGACTTGGCAAGCAGTGAGGTCTGGATCAACCTCTGCATGTCAGAATTGGGTAAGCCATAACCTATTACCCTAAAATCATTTCATATGGTCCATAGCAATATTATTATTCTTTCCCATACCATTGTACAACAGTGTTCATGTATTGTGTTCAATGGCTCAATGTCTGGCTGGAGACCAGTAACGAGTGGTGTCCCTCAGGGATAGGTGTTGGGACCGATCATGTTCAACATCTTTGTCACTGACATGGACAGTGGGATTGAGTGCGCCCTCAGCAAGTTTGCTGATGACACCAAGCTGTGTGGTTCGGTTGATACCCTGGAGGGAAGGAATGCCATCCAGAGGGACCTTGACACGCTTGTGAGGTGGGCTGATGCCAACCTCATGAAGTTTAACCATGCCAAGTGCAAGGTTCTACCTTGTCAGAGCAATCCCAGGCACAGCTACAGGCTGGGCAGAGAAGAGATTCAAAGCAGCTCTGTGGAGAAGGACTTGGGGTGTTGGTTGATGAGAAACTGCATGTGGGATCCTGGATTCTTCAGTCAGAGAAAATTCCCATAAAAAAGTTCAGTTCAAATAAGCAATACAGGATTGGACTATTATCCATTATTTAGGCTTTTCAAGCTAAAGTAATTATGAGATAAGTTCTGTTCTTGAAATAATTAAAAAAAAAAATAGTCCCAGTGCTTTCAGAGCGGATTTTGTAATTGCCTTTTTGCAGAAAATCATACAAGACAGGAAAAATACTTGATATTTTTGGCAGGCTGAGTTTCTGTGCATTTTATTCACTTTCAATAGGAACATTTCTAATGAAACTCCAGATAGAGCCAACCACTCTAGAATGCTAGAATCATAATTAACTAAACCCAAACAGCATCACTATATTATTTTGCCTTCCATATGTACTTATACAGTTACTCTATATGTTTTTAACACAGAGATACACAAGCACATACGTTATGGAAAAATCATCGCACCACAAAGATGTAGGTAAAGCTCTGACTATTTCCACTGCATTAGCATGTGCAAGTTGTGTGCCAGGCAACAGGAGATGACATTTGACTTGGGTGATTAGTGGCTTCCACTTTTAACTGTGTTCTGTTCATTTACAGAGTTGTGCGCATCAGTGTTCTCCTGCATCAGCTTAAAGCCATACTTTCAAACTTTTCTGTTGTTTTTGTTGGGCAAAGCATTCCAGTGACCTGCCTTTTTGCTTATTTATGTTTATAGCTCTACAGGGGCTTCATTGGTGTGGGTGTTGTTTACTCTCAAGTACCACATTCAGGAGGCAAAAAGACCTTAAAGAGGATATAAATTACATTTGGCTGAGTACAAGATTCAGTCTATAAGTTTTAAACATTTGAATACTTCCTGAAATCCTGCTGGCACATCTGGGTTTGCTAAACACACACTGGGGGAAAATTGAGGAATTGACCATGACCTCTGGAGACCAGTGTGCAGAGCCTCCATCTAGAGTCAGTGGAGAGAGACTGGCTCCAAAATTAGCTTTTTTTCAGAGTTTGCTTAATTTTGCTGGCTGCAAAGATGCTTAGGGAGACCAACCTTGCTATTCTGCAGTTAATCTTTCTGAATGTTTACTAAGCACTGTTTTTCATACTCCCTATAAAATGAGGCTAAGCACCCAAACCTGATCTGGGCCCCACCCAATCTTGTGCTGACTTCCATGGGCTTTGGGTCAAATTTAATGGCCATCTCACAGAGCTACTGCAAAAACCCCCAGCACAATGGCTGAACTATGTCAGTATTTGTCACGCTTTTTTAAGATTATAAATAACAGGGTTTGATGATTATCAGGAGAGAGGCCCTTGTATCAAAATGGTAAAGTACCAAAGAAATAATCTAGAATGGATGAATCCTACCACTTAAAACTTTATTTGTTAACTTTTGGGTTTGTGTTTGTTTTGCTTGTGCAACTAAAATGTTGATTATCTGTCATTGCTGATCCAAGAGCAATAGTTCCAGGTTCATAAAGTAATCAACCCAACAGCTCAGATTCTTAAATTCTATCTTTTATTTACCTTCCCTAGGTTGGAAAAATCCACAAGAATGCTGCCCGCAAAAGAGAATACCATGTACTGTTCATGGTGATCACTACAGTTATCTGTTACCTGGTGTGTTGGATTCCCTATGGAGTTATAGCATTACTTGCAACATTTGGTAAACCAGGTGTGGTGACTCCAGTTGCAAGCGTCATACCTTCCATTCTAGCAAAAAGCAGTACTGTTTGCAATCCCATTATCTACATCCTTATGAATAAGCAGGTAAGACACATATTATTTTTAAATTCTATTTTCTTTAGGGTCTTTCAGGTATTATTGACTGCTGTGACATATAGATGTCTTTACGAGGACATTCAAGGCTTGTCCAGATGATATTACTAGAGTCTTGAGGTGTAGTTGTTTACAGTCAACAATATTATTGCTAGATAGGAAGAACAGGTAAATATTTGCTTACTGAAATTACTGTGTTCTTCTGAGGGCACACTGGGTGTCAATTTGTATGCTGCAGAGCTAGTTGCCAAAGGTACTGGCGTCTGTTTACAAGAAGAATACTCAAACATGGTGGGGGTGAGGGGGAAGAGGTGAAATAAGAAGAATGGATTTCATTACCTTGGAAACAATATGAAGGAGGAAAACATTTGCAAACACCATTTTCACGACAGATACCCTTGAAAATATTGCAATTATACTTTTTCTGGACTTCCGTATGCTTCCTGTTAAATTCCTAGTTCAGCTACATAACAAAATAGATAATGAATTTTGTCTCATGAGGACCAAAGCCGATTCTACCACTTCTAAAATGCCTAGATCCAGTTCCAGCCCCTTGTTTCTGTAAATGGCATTTTCAGTACACAAAAATGAAATTCCTAATGTGTCTGTGTTGACTCTAAAGTTTGATAATGGCAGATCCGAAAGTTTTAAAAGTGTTTTGCAGTTAAGAAATTTGGAAAATATGTATGGTTTATGAAATAGCCTTGTCTCTCTTGTTACATCTTAGATGTTATTCTTAATTTCCTTTCTTCATTATGTTCATTGCACTATTATAAAGCCAATAACCCCCCTTTACCCTTTCTTGCTCAGTGTATGATGGAGCCTACCCCTTAGAATTTATCAACAGCAGCACTGTATTATTATGGAGTTGAGACAAGGGATATGTTGAATTTACCCGCCAAATAAATTCCAATTTTGCTGCAGCCCAAGATCATTCTTGGTCTGGTTCATCTAACCTAAAGTTCTTAAACAAGGAATGAGTTTCCTTGTGGAGTTTGAGAGAAAGCTCTCAGGCAAGCCATAAAACCTTCCTGAAATCAGAAGAAAAAAGTACTGTTGCCTTCCTCAAGACCAGGGCTTCATTTCCAAAGCGTAGTTTGAGCTGACATTGAAAAATATCAAGAACTCCATTTGAAAAGTGCTAAAGCGAAAGCAGAATAGGAATCTTTTCTCCTTTCCCTTACCTTTTATGATTCTTATGGAAACGTCTCAACAGCAGCATCTGTCTTGCTTCTCTATTCTCTGGGTGGTTTGGCTGAAGTCCTTGGCTCCCATGACATCATCTGACTGTGCTGCCATCACTGGAGCAGGCTGTAACAGTGGTCACAAATACATTTTGGCATTGTATTTACACACAGAGCACATCCTAAATAGCAAAAGTATGGAATGCAGGGTAAAGATATGAGTCTTAAAACACATGAACTCAGTACAGAGCCTTGGGTACCTCCATGTGTCTTGAGAACAAAATCACATGCACAATTACCTGTGCTGACAACCTGGCATCCACAGATATACACACAATTAAGGCTGGTTTTATATTCTCAAAGTGCTCCAAGCAGTTATTGAGAACTGTGCATTCTGCAGCATCAAAGGCTTGTGAGGCAGTCATGCTGCTATGGGTGTGCTGAGGCAAAAAGAAAAGGCTCACTGTTGAGGAAAAGTTGATTAGCAGCAATAAAACCAGGGTGCTTGCACATCACAGGAATGTAGTAAGCTGTCTAAAATCACTCTTTCCTTGCAGTAGCTGCCTCTTTCAGCTACAAAAGAAACACTTCTGAATGCTTAACTTCTTTTCTTCGTATGAGGTGTGCTTTTGATCAAGTTTATCATGTCTTATAAGGAAAGATCATTGTGGGATGATATGTCTGCAAGGGGAAGATCTGTTAGGACAGTTTTGAGGCAAGGCAGGCTGTTTCTTAGCCACAGGAACTGAAAAGGCAGTGCAACAATTCAGGAGCACCATGGCAAGGAGCTGGAAGTGGTTTCTTACATATCCTTCCTTAATCTTCAGTCACATGCAAGACCGATGCATTAGATTTCATTCTTGGAACACTGAGAATGTTTCATTTGTTTCCCGCTGCCTACTGCTACACAGCTGCCACCATTTAACAAAGAAATGCAAGGGACAAAGTCAAATTGGTCTTGGAGGGTTGATCATTAGTTGCCAGCTGGAAGTCACTGTATTGTTTTGTTTTTTTACATAGTTAGCTTCCTTATTGTTGCCAAAATCTAAACAAAAATCACTCCTGAAAAGTCAGATTTGGCATAAACACTTTTCATGGTAATTAAACCCAAAATAAGCAATAGCTAATGCCTAGCATGAATCCACAGCTCTTATCTGCTATGCCGTTGCATATTAGCAGTAAAAATAATTGGGTTTACTTGACACTGGGAAATGAGCTTCGCTCAAAAAGGGTGAAATACATCCCTTCGTCTAGTTCCCCTTCTTTTCAGAACAGGAACAATAGTAACACCCTCCTCCGATGCATCACTGTTGTTCACAGCACCTCAGCTACTCTGTAGTTGTTCTCATTCTTTTTTGTAAGCTTAACACCTCAGGAAAAGCTGTCTTCTTCCCAGCACTCAGCTTTTCTCGGCTTCATGCTTAGCTGAGAATTGTCACAGGAGGCTGGTTCCTCCCAGCGCAGAAATTATCTGGCCTGCATTTTTCACAGTCCTCTCTTTCCAGATGTGAGACACCACAGGAGGCTATTTACTCCTGCATCTTACAAGTACACCAAGAACATATGGCTTAATTTTTAGTTCTCTATGCATAAGCTAACTTTTTTGCTTTGGGACATGCCTTGAAGATTGCAAAATGGCATTGGTTGACTGCAGCTGTGGTGATAGCTTCCAGCTATTATAAATCAATGTGTAACATCAGTGAACCGTCAGCCTTAAAACTCATCCTGCAGAGCATACCTTTAAATTAACTCTCAGGCAGGCTCTCAGTCACTTGCATAGTCCTGGAACCCCAGAAAAAAAAGGTTTTGCCTTTGCAGTTGCTTTCTGCACTGACCTGAGGTGATAAAGCACTGAGGAAAATGGTGAATTTCTTTGGAGCTGTAGGGACTCCCTCAGGTGGGATGGCATGGGGCACGCTGCTCTCCTTCCACTCTGCTCCAGGGGGAGAGAGATGCAGTGTTTAAGATGGGCAGGTAACATCACACCAGGCAGACATTAAGCTTCATTTACAAAGCTGTAAAGCACTAAATTGGCTGAGACCAAATGGTGCTTGGGGAGAAGCTGGAGGAGACAGCAGAAAGCACCTTACATTTTCTCTGTCCCCTCGTTATGAATGGCTCTTTTGCCCTTTGGCAGCATGGCTATGTATGCCTGGGGCAGCTCTCCCTGCAGGGCAGACCCCCAGAAATGCAGCACATAGCCAAGTACACAGCCAAACTGGGCAGCATCAGCATGCTCAGGCTCTCAATGCATTGGTCCTTTATAGTTGTTACACAGTTAATGTGGTTATGCAGATTTTTTGTTTCATCTTCTTTTACCTCTCAGTGTTTTTTATTCCCATCACAACTCCCTGTCAGGTTTGCATTGTCTCTCTTCAAACTGCCACGTGTGCAGCCACCACAAACAGATTTTTAATGACAGCTTCAACTACCTGCCTCTGACTAAAGCAGTGCTGACAGAAACCTGCTCTTTCACATGTTGCATGCAAGCAGGTATTAAGCATTCACTCAAGAGATATGCAGCTTCTCTGTAGCCCATGGACTTGCAGTTTTGATGATCACTGAGAGCATCTTGCTTTCATGTATTCCATAGAATGGCACAGGAACCCTGACACGGAAGATCTGGCTAGCTGGTGTAACTGTACGTGAAGACGTACTGCACTGACAATCAGTGGATAAATAGCTGGATAAAATAATGGTGCAACAGCTGTTGAGGTTAACCTTATGTATCAGAAGTTAATTTTTTATTGATACAGAAGTCAAGATGTGAATAATGAGTGCTTGAGAGGGTATGGTTATGGATGAGAATGAGTGAATCTGCACTCACGATTTCTCATAATTTAAAACAAACACTCAGAGAAAACAGGAATTTGCTGCATTGCTACTGACAGCCAAATTTAAGTCAAGTTAAACCTGTGTCATGGTTTAAGTCCAGTCTGTCAATTCAGCCATGCAGTCCTCGCTCACTCCCCACCCCCCCTTCCTCCTCCCACTCCCGGAGGGATGGGGAGAAGAATCAAAAGAATGTAACTCCCACGGGTTGAGATAAGAACAGTCCAGTAACTAAGGTATAACACAAATCACTGCTGCTGCCACCAATGATAATAATGATAAAGGAAATAACAAGGAAAGAGAATACAACCGCTCACCACCCACCAACTGATACCCAGCACGACTGAGCCATGATCTAGCCCTTCTGGGTAACTGCCCCCCAGTTCTACATCCTGGGCATGACGTGCTGTGGTATGGAATACCTCTTTGGCTAGTTTGGGTCAGGTGTCCTGTCTTTGCTGCCTCCCGGCTTCCCCTCCTCCCTGGCAGACCATGAGACTCAGGAAGTCCTTGGTCAGACTAAACATTACTGAGCAGCAACTAGAAACATCGGTGTTATCAGCGCTGTTCCCAGGCTGAAAGTCAAAAACACAGCATTGCACCAGCTACTAAGAAGGAGAAAAATGACTGCTACTCCTGAACCCAGGACAACCTGTAGTACTCAAAGATCCACAGAACCAAACATTTGGAAAACACTGATCAGATTATAAATCACAACCTTAAAATAGCCTTGCTCTACTGGAGCACGTGGGCTCCAACTAATTACTTCCACACATTTAGTCATCCAGGTAACTCACCTAAAGCTCCCTGGACTACTGGAACTCAGGCTAGCCCATCTAATACTGTTTTGCATATTACATTTGGCAAAAAAGTCCACCCAAACCCTGTTATCAGAATGTGGAATTTCTGGTGTCAGAAAGCGCCTGTGAGGAAAAGTAAGGAGGAAGAGTGTGAGGGAAGGGATATATTAGATGT